CAACAGATAGCCTTTAAGAAACAACAGCCCACACTGTTTTCTGCTGCCTTTAACTCCAGAAGCTGTATCATTGACTTATCTGGGCTTCTTGGCTTCCTTCGGGCCAGATAAGTGTAAGCACTTTTCATTTTCTGGCTTAAAAAGTATCTTTTTTTCTTCATATCTAAAAATGCCTACCTAGCAGCAGGCTTGACATGGCAGAGAGAAAAAATGGGTTCAATGGAAAAAGAAAATGTTTGTGTGAGCATAGCTCTCCAGAGCACTGGGAAGGTAACAAAGAGAAGAAGTGTTTCTTATTACCTTTGAGCCCCTTTATCATCCCAAAGGTGAACTTCTCTCCCTGAGCCCCAAAAGTTTTGGGTGGACTGAAAACAAAGGTTTAACACACAGAAAAACCAAGGCAGTGGCGTCTGAAGTTTCATGAACTCTTACAGTGGCACTGAACAAAATTATTGCAAATGAGACCAGACTTCTGTGCAAAATTCTTAAACCTTGAATTCAACACAATTGTTTTCTCTGACAGTGTTTTCCTTAATTCATATAGGAGAAAAATCATGTTTTTACCAGGAAAGAAGCGTGGGGAAACTTCTTCTAGTCAACCTATGGCTAAACCTATTTCAGAATACTGCCACGCAGTTCTGAAAAGAGCTGACACTCATTTTCCTCTGTTCTGAAAAGTAATTAATCATCTGCTTTTCCAAACGACACTCATACTAATATGCAGTATTCTTTGTTCATCTCAAATCACTTGTAATTAAGGAAGAATTTCTTATGCTTTCCTAAATACAGAAGGGCAACTAAAACCATCATGGAAAAAAAATTAGCAAAAGGCTGTTCTGTAAAATCTCCAAAAGGAAGCTCTTGGGATGGGAGAACAGCCTTCTACATCGGTCTAAACTTGAGGACAGATCATCTGCTGCAGAACTGAGCTACCATTTAATTGCCTCTGAAATTGGATGACCCACATTCTTAATTCCAAAGTTTATCTAAGAGATTAAAAAAGATCCAGAATGATTCCACGCACTGAAGAACCAGCAAAGGCATGCTGTGCTTTCTTCCCACAGCACTATTCTCAACGCCAGGTTTGGTAACATGTTAGGAAGGAATGTGACTCCATGCAGCACCACCTGAACTGAATCTCCAGATGCAGTTGTAAGATGGAAGAAATAATTGAAGTTACTCCCTCGGGTGCCAGGGAACCTTCAGCCACAACACCCACCTGAAGTGCGCCTTGATCACTGCTAGAGAGGAGCCACCAGGGAGGACAGTGCTGAGGAGCAGCTTGTTTTGCTGCCCTTTAACAAATTAAAAACCTCTGGACAAATTAGGGCAAAAGAAAAAAAAAAAAGGAATAAATTAAAGACAAGAGAAAGCAAGGAAAAGCTGAAAAATCCCTCCTTCAACTCAGAACTAACCAGTGTGCACTGCTGGTTCAGGTGATCAAAGAAAACCAGCTGCTGCTAGAGACAGCAGTGCCTGGAGGCGGGTTGCTTGTAAGCACTGCTGGCTGTGGGATCATACAGAAAATATCAAATCCTCAGTTCCCTTCTGGCCCTCAGAAATTTCCCCTGCGCCTCCATCCTGACAGGCCCTTGTCCATTTGCAGGGCAGAAATTACAAATATTCCTATTTCTGACAAATAAGAACAGTGGCACTGTGTTACTCGTGTCCATCTTCAAATAACAACTGCTGTAAATCTAGAACCTTGATGCATAATGTGACTCACACAAAAACAGACTACTTTCGGGTTCTTCATTCACTTAACAAACCACAACAGTATGTGTACCATTTATAGCTGTCCTTCAGTACATGGAAGCTAGGACACAGCACAATTTGCTGGAGAGATACTCCAACTCCTTAACACATGGAAGCCCTTTCAATAAAGCAGAGACATAAAATCAATTCAAAACCTACCCCAACATCTCAACTTCTACCAGGCAGAACTTTGAGAAGCTATAAATCCTTCAGAAGTCAGTAATTACTTGGGAATTATTACAAAGTTGCACACATCTGTGATAGGGAAGTGACAGTTTTGCAATTGTCTGTCCCATAAACCAACAACACACAGTTACCAAGGTGCCACAACTGCCACTGACGTTGCATGGGAGAGCTGAGATACAGGCAAAAGGCACAGAAGGACACCGTGCACTACTTCCAGTGGCCTGTGCACTGCTAGACCTTCACCTTTTGAAGGTTACAAGTGAGAATGCAGCTGCCTAAAGTTGGCTGCGTGGTAAAAACTGGACTGCAGAACTGCACAAGCACAAATAACACCTGGAGATTATGTAAAAAATCACAAAGGTTAATAGGTACACAGTTAGGTATGTGGGCCTGTAGCTTTGCAAACTGAGCAAATTAAATAATCTTTATGCATTTTTTAAGCTGTCAATTATGAAAACAGTGACTTGAGGCATGCAAATTGCTGTGATTCTAAACAAAAGCCTATCCCATTCGGTACAATGAATTCAGGATAATCTGCAAAAAGTCATGGAACCAAATAACCAAGGCAGACGACAACTGTACAAATCTTATCCTGATAGCAAATATGATTGAGTTTTAATTGCGGGCTGGAAGTTACCAGGCTACAGACTAAGTGCATCACAAGAACAGAAGTGGAGCTCACTCCATACAGAAAAAGAGGCCTGGTATGACGATCCATCTGACTTGCTATAGATACTCCACATCAAGGACTAACTTCAGTTGGAAGCAATTTAGCCTCACCATGCAGTAGAAGCCAAATAAGGCACTCTACTGCAGGGCTGGCTCCACATAAAGCTTCAGCAATTCTGCACAGCAAGCGTTAGAGCACCTTGCCCAGAGAAGTGGTGGATGCCCCATCCACAGAGGTATTCAAGGTTAGACTGGATGGGGCTCTGAGCAACCTGATCGAGCTGTAAATGTCCCTGTGCACCACAGGGGAGTTGAAGTAGGTGATGACTTTCAAAGAGCCCATCCAACTCAACCTATTCTATGATTCTACAAACCAGGAACATCAAGAAGCGCGGATCTGAGTCCAACGCAGCTATGAAGCCCAGTTGATCACGGCACTGCCAAACCCAAACACATCCTCTTGGATGCATCTACACAAGCTCTGGTGCGAGCCCATACCAAACCCATCCAGACAAAAATGTGCAGGTATGTTTACAGATAATAAGAATGCACCCAGACAGTGCCAACGAAGCTGGTAACAGGGCTGAAGATGTGACCTACGAGAGGCTGAGAACACTTGGGTTGTGCAGTGTGGAGGAGACAAGGCCAAGAGATGGCCTCAATGGTCCCTGCAGCTTCCTGGGGAGAGGAGGTACAGAGGAAGGTGTTGGTCTCTTCTCTCCACAACCAGTGGCAAGACATGTGGGAAGAGCACAAAGCTGCACAAGGGAGGTTCCGACTGGATGTTAGGAGAAATTTCTTCTCCAGGAGGCTGGTCAAACACTGGGACAGGCTTCCTAGCAGGGTGGTTGACGTCCCATGCCTTCGGGTATTCAATAGCATTTGAATAATACCCTCAATGGTATGCTTTAACTTTTGGTTAGCCCTGAAGTGGTTGGGCAGTTGGATGAGATGATCTCTGGGGTGACCTCACTGCTGCCTTCCAGTGCGTATTAGTATAAGTATTGATAAACAAGATGGAAATTGACTTTCTTTATGACATGACAGTGATAGGTCAAGGGGGAGCCGTTTTAAATCAAAAGAAAGGAGATTTAGGTTAGACGTGAGGAGAAATTCTTTGCTCAGAGGGTGGTGAGGCACTGATATTGCTGCCCAGAGCTGTGGATGCCCCATTCCTGGAGATGTCCCAGGCCATGGATGGTCCCTGGGCAGCCCAATGTAGTGGGTGCACTCAGTCCACGGAAGGGGTTTGCGTTGGGAGGTTTTGAGATCCCTTCTAACCCAACTATTCTGTGATTCTGTTATCAATACGGCCTTGTCCAAAGGAACTATTCTATTAATTGACTCCTTGCAAAGCCACCATAGGCTGAGCAAGGCTGCCTTAAGCTGAAGCTCCACACGGCTGATGGCCTTACAGACGATCCTCGAGGCCCAGACGCACCGCAGGCCGTGCTCCCCGGTTACCTCACAAACCGTTCTTCACTCCCGAGCTCAGGGAGCCGGACAGCCTCTTCCCACGGCTCTCGGATGCTCCCCAGCGCCCTCAGGAGGCACCGGGACTCCCAGGAGCACCACTCCGGGCCGGGCCAGCGGTACCCCATGGCCGAGTGCTGGGCTCTAACCCGACGCCATCGCCCGAGCGGCCCCGAGCATCCCCTCAGGCCCGCGGGAAAGGCGATAACGGAGCCACGCGCTCCTCGCGCTCCCCCGAGCCGCGGCCCGTTGGGCCTGAAGGGCCGGAGAGGCGGCGGGGACGAACGGCAGAGGTCCCGCGTATCGCAGCAGGGCGCGCTCGACGATCTCTTACCGAGAAGCGGCCCCACAGCCGCGCCCGGGAACGCGTCCCGCATCCGACATGGCAGCGGCAGCCCCACGGCTCCACTGCCGCAGCACGACCCGGAAGCAGAACGCGGCTGCGCCGGAAGTGACGTCACCGCCACCCGAGGGCAGAGGCCGAGCTCTACAGGGGCGGCTGAGGGGAGGCGGGGCGTCCTTGGCGCTGTGCCGCGCTTCTGTCTTTATTTTCTCTTGGTACAGGCGTTGCGATTGCAGTTACGTGAAATAACTTGTCGCTTTTCGGCCTGAGTGTTAAAGCCACACGGTAGGCTGCTTGTGGAAAACTTCCTGTGTGTGTAGGTCGCCGGTTGGGGGTTTCCTCAGGTTTGCTTCTTGGCAGCTTAAACGTGCTTCAGAAGTTGTGGGGTTTTTTAGCCGGTCAAAACTTGCTGCGTTTACTTCAGTGTCACCTTTTGTGATGATTCGTGTGGTGATAGAAAACAAAAACACCAAAAGGAACATGAATATGCCATCACATCAACTTTGTGTGGTATCAAAGCATTTAAGTGTAAATACAGAAAGATGAGAAGAAAAGAGACCTTAAAGGCAACACGTTTGGGAAGCACGCTTTATTTAGAAGAACATTTGAGGATTCCTTTCATTGCAAATCAAAACTGTGTCCTGCAACACTGCTGTAGAACAAGTAATTCCAGGAACAGAAGTAGAAGGTCAAACTTCTTTTAAAATGCCTTTTTGCTGACTTAGTTATTGCAACATAATCTCGTGAAGAGTCCTCAGAATTCTTTCACTGTTTAACCTTTCCCTTAGAAGCAAGTTTACATTTGTTCTGTTGATCCCCCACTTGCCTTACAGCTGGTTTCTGTGGAGTATTTGCCTTCTGTGTGTATTTGCAAACAGTAAGTAACCCAAACTGTACACTCCACTGCAAGTTTCCCAGCAGTCTATAGAAGACCATAAACTTACACATTTCTACACAAAACAATCCCTTTCCATTTCCTCCAAGAGCTGCCAAACTCGATCTGTCCAGTGCTTTAGCAGCTGTGAAGCAAGTGAGATCTACTGTCACGTGTGGGGTAAGGAGAAAAGTTTTTCCAACCAGAATGTGCCATCTCTCGAGGGCAAAATACAGAAGCACATTCCTCCAGCTCCCAGGATTTAGGCTTTTAGATGAAATATTGTGATCCTTGCTATGCACTGTGTGACTGCGGATACGGAGCAAAGCTTTGAACATGGCCGAGGGACCAGGGAAAAGTCTCTGCAAAATGATGCCAGCAGGTATCCTTTGTGAGTGACCATACTGGAGCAGAGTACAGAACCAAGAGGGAATGCATTTGGCTTATGATCACATTCTGCCCACTGCCTGGTACAGGAGTGCACAGCTCACCATCAGGCGTGGCATTAAAAAGAAAAAAGCATTTTAGTTCCTTTGCTCATTTACACACATAAGTACAAAAGCTGCTTGAGGAACTGCAGGAGATACAGCTGAAGGACACCCATCTTCACTGAAACATGGACAGGTCTGTTAGGACTATTGGTCCTATATTTGGAAAGCTCATCTTTCACCTTCTCCTCATAACTGGTGGGCAAATGAAGGCTGCTGACAACGCGTATAAATCAATAATATTGCCATGTCAGATAGACTTCTCTTGTATTACCACCCAGACTCTCCCACGTAGTTTGAGGAACCAAAAAATGATTGTTAAAAACAAGTAGCTTCCCTTCCTTGCCCTGCCCAATTTCCTGTGCTGGATTGAGTAATTACAGTCAGAAAAAGAAACCTCAACTGTCTCATGACTTGTAACAGAAATGGGCACCCCTGGAAAACTACCCTAGGGCCCTACTGGCTGCTGCCAGCCCTGAGTGAGGAGCCTCAAGTCTTTCACAATTGCATTAGTTACATCTCTGCAAAGTGCACTGCATCACTATGCATCACTGATTTACTCAGAAACCTAATACTTCATTTGTGGTAGATTATCAAGAGCGAGTCAGCTTCTTTTCTTCATAGCAGAAATAAAAAGGCTAGAGGAAGGACAGCGCACAGTTGCTTTTTACAATCCTCACTTAAATAAATAAGAACAAAGATAGAGAAGCATTTAAAGTTTTTTTTGTCTTCTCCTAATAATGCCCCTGCTGACAGCAGTCTTCTGTTACCCAGAGCATCCAAAATGAAGTGGGATCTCCACAGGCACAAAAATACCAGCCAGCCAAAATCTGAGTGCAAGAGGCCACTTACTTTCCAGTTCTGCAATCATACAAGAAACCAGGGGGCAGGCAGCAGCCCCCTCTGGGGAGCTGATTTGGGATGGGGGCTGAGGCACTGCCAGTTTCTCTTCCTTGTGTTGTCTTTGTCCAGTGACTTGTCTGATACAAAAGCTGTGAGCAAAGACAGGTCAGAACAGCTGCTCAGAAATGTTACTTGACTATGGTAGCAGCTCAGCACGTTCCACCAGGCTGTTTAGAAGTCTTACAGCTCTGATACTGGACTTTTCCTGGAAGCTGAGCAGGCAAAGGACCAGGCATGGTACTACCAGGGCTGACATCATGTATAATTTCAGTGTACTTTGCTCATTGTGGACACTCGCTGCATTTCTCTCAGTAAAAGCAGATTGCCTGAGCTGCTCTCAGTGCCCACAGCACAGACAGAAGGTGCTGTTCTCACAGATTTTTACAAGTTTCAGTGCTGCCAGTTGAGAGTGATAGAAGAAATCATAGAATGACAGAGGTTGGAAGAGACATCTGAGTCCATCTGGTCCAATCCCTGCTTCAGAAGGGACACCTCTTGCCCAGCACCACATCCATGTGGCTTATGAAGATCTCCAAGGAGGAGATTCCCGGGGCAACCTGTGCCAGTCCTCCGTCAGCCTCACATTAAAAAGTTCTCCCTAATGTTCAGGGCGACATCCTGTGTTCCAGTTTATGCACATTGCCTCTTGTCCTGTCACAAATGGGTGTTCATTCTTCTGTCTTACAGGAAAAATGGAAAGTAATATTCTGGCCCTGTCGTGTCCCTCTGTGCCTTCGTTTGAGAAGAGATGAGGGACTCATTCAGCACCTCAGCCTCTGCAATCAAAACTGACTGACCTAGAACCCAATGGCGTCCTCCTGGTGAATGGTGCCCTCAATCACCGTATCTGTGGTTTGCCTGGAGCACTTGCGGCTCCCTTTCATGCTTTTCAGATTTTGTGATACGTGCTTTTGGAACTTCTTGGTGAGGAAGCAGTAGATGACTGGGTCCAACACGCAGTTCATACTCAGGAGGCACAAAGTCACCTGGTGAGCATCGTTGAGCTGCTGGCGCAAGCGACAGTTTTCCTTCTTCCATTGCTCCAGAACAGTCAGTGTCCAGGGCAGGTCCACAACGTGATGAGGCACAAAGCTGATGATGAACACAACCAGCACAGTGCAAACCATCCAAAGTGCCCTTTGCTTTACATGAGCGTTCTTCCGCTGCTGCCCTGATTTGGAGAACAGGGTCCTGATAATGATGATGTTCCAAGCTAGGATAAATAGGAAAATGATGTAGAAAAGGGTGCAGATGATGACATGAATGGCAAGAACCGGTGTAACATTGCCAGTAGAGTCATAGCGCTCAAAGCAACGTGTATAATTATTTGAGCCAATTTTCTCCACATTCGTATTATCATCAAAAAGATAATACAAAGCACTGCCCACTGTTATGATCCAGATGGCTGCTGAGAGAAAGATACCCCTTCTCTGGGTGGTAAACTGAGCTGCTCTAATGGGATTCGTCACAGCTTGGTAACGGTTGTATGTAATGACCATCAGGAAGGCAACAGAAGCGTAGGTGTTCACGAAAAAGAAACAGCCAGCCACATTACAGAGGAACTTGGGCATGATCCAGTCCCCGTGGTGGTGATAGTAAACAATCCACAGTGGCATTGTAACCAGGAAGAGCAGGTCAGCTACTGTCAGGTTCAGCATAAATATCTTGATTTCATTGAGCTTCTTGGTGGAGTAAATACGGCTGAAAATCCAGAGCACGTAGCAGTTGGCGACAAAGCCCAGAATGAAAATGATGCTGTAGAAAACAGTGAAGAGGCTGTAGCGAAACTCAGAGTCTATTGGGCACACATTGCCTGCAGCATCATCTTTGCCCTCTCCAGACATCGTGCTGTTGAGTGGATACGTGTGAACCACGATTTCCTGCTGTAGCTTTTCTTCTTGCCTGAAAATAAGAAGCATAAAATCAGCTGATTGGTGTTGTGCCACTGCTAAGCCAAAGCCCAGCTTTCAACTTCGGCTGTCTGGAACCACAGGTGTTTTGCCCTGTGCCCTCGTTCAAGGCTCAGGCACCTGCTCTGCCCCCTTGGGTCCTGCCATCAATCCCATTTCCACACCATACTTTCCTCTGGGTCTTCATCCAGTGTTTTTTGCTACAGTGCTGATCTCAGATCACCAGTCTCAAAAGACTTCTACATGAAGGTTCATATAACAGGTAGAGCCTCTCTTACTCTCCTCCCAGCTACACAGACTGAGCTTCTTCATCTTTTACTACCGGCATGCAGGGTTTTCTTGATTCTTAACTGCAGTCCTCTTTCTTTAAAGCCTGCCTGTTTTTGGCTGTGCCCTCATTCTGAATTCAGGCTTTTCTCAAATCGGTTTGGCTCTTTTTTTTCCCCTATCATTCCTGCATCAAATGCAATTGGAGCAGCAGCAGTTCTGTGCTTTCCACTGAAAGTAACTCACAGTCACTAAAGAGATGCCTTCAGGATTTTAGTATTACCAGTCTCCCCCTCAGTTAGTAGTTCTTCAGACCTTACCTACAGCTTTGACATCCAATTTCTGCATCGTCAGTAGGGTCTATGTTCTTGTCTCAGGTCTAGGTGGGATTCAGACCAATCCCTTGCATACTCCAACCTGCTTATTTCACTGTACAGAGGACATAAGCCCCGCTCTTCTTTCTAGCACCAGCCCTGTTTGACGCTGGACAGGCACTCACCTCTGCCAGTCCTGCAGATCTGCTGGTTTTTGCTCCCTTAGGAAGCTGGAGGAAGATGACTGACTATCGCAGAGTTGCTGCTTTGTTGTGGTGAGCCACCAAATGAGTGTGAGGCTGCTCATTCACATCACACAAGGCTTGTAACTAATCCAAGCCAACGCAGGGTTTGTCAAATGCAGAACGTGGTGGTTTGCCATGTAAATTCTGCCACCAGTCACAATGCCTGAATTTCTTGTGCAAAGTACGAGGGCAAAGCCAAGTGCTGCACATTGCAGTGTGCTTGCTGTGCTCTGCCAGCCCCATGGACACCAAGAGTTTCACAGCAAGCTTCCTCCTGGGCAAGCACCTTCTGCCTCAAAACTGCATCTTCCCTAGCAGCAGGGGCACGAAACCCTCTCTGAGACACTTTTGTGCCCACATGGTGTTGGTTCCTCATTTGTGGCACTGCAGTTTTCCTCTCCAAATAGAGAAGTCATCTTTACTTCAAGAAAACTGCCCCTTTCCTCAGAACACTCTGCAAACACCTTTGTACTTCTTTGTACTTCCCAGTTGGGAGAAGAGGAAGGCAGCAGTCACCTTCCCCAGCCTGTCCATCCTTACTCTTTACAGGTGCCTTATGGACATGACAGCTCTGGATGCCCATGACCTGCCCTGGGTCCTTCCCATTGCTGCTGGCTGCTCTGCTCCCTGTTCTGATTTATGCAAGGCTCAAGGCAAGTCCTGTGTTGTCTCATGGCTCCATTTCTGCACCCTCATTTATAGATGAAAATTGCTCTCCCGCTCAATGGGAACCCACTCCAGGTAAAGACATGAGACAATTGGGAGGGCTGGCATCCCTGGCTCAGGGGGCAGCAGGCACAGACACTTCAGGCAAGGGGTGAAGAGAGACTCATGGGGACCTCTGTGCTCGATATGCACTCTTCTAATGGCAGAATAAGAAGTAAAGTGAAGTCTTAATTACCTAAGATTATTAGAGACCTCATGGTTGCTTCAAATCTGTATCTTAAATTCACTTTTCTGACTGGCTGCCACCTTCAGCAAATAGTTCTGCTATTTGGGGCTGGGATCTTTGACGTAACCCACAGTCAATTTGGGCTCTGCCGCAGTGAAATCCCTCCACCCCTGCATGTCTGCTGCTGCACACTGGGGCTCTATGAACTTCCCTGCTGTCTTTTTCCAGACCTGCCCCCAGCTGCTGTATTGAGCAGACAGGTGCTAAGGAAGTTAAAGCTGTGCATCCCCCACCTGCAAAGCCCTGCACCCAAGGAAGACAGGTTTGGGCTGACGGGGCTGCACTCTGACAGGCGAGACGAATGCAAGGATGTGCTCTAAGTTGTTATCTGTGCTCTGGCAAAGGAGCAGGATGGGCGGTAGGAGAGGACGATGCCTTCTACAGCTCTGGCAGGGCTTGGTCAAACTCATCTACCTTGGCAGTAGTTGGCTGTGCAGAGCCAATGCTGAGGTCCTCCAGGGAATCTCAAGAGAGTTTTTGCCTTCTTGTTTGCCAACTCAGATGTTCCACATCATGTAACTAGTTGAGAGCGTGGCACCACTCCCCTCCAAACTTATTCAACACCAATTTTACTCTTCAGCCACAGCAACCTATGGTCATCCCACTCAGTCTCTCCTCTCGAGGCAGTTCCCCTTTATATAAAACACAAACGTTCTCTGTGCCAGCACGAGGGAAAAGTGGTGGTCGAGTCCAGGCTGGCAACTGTGGGACCCATTCCCAGTTGCACCAGGCTGCACTGTGTTACCACATCCCTGGTAGCTGTATCCCAAAGCCACTGCCCAGTACATTTGTGCACCAGCTGATAATCCCCAGAGCTTCCTATCAGGTCTACCGTGTGCAGAACTAGAGGCGAAGTCACCAGCTGCACAGGAGAGCGGCTGGGATAAACGCAGACCCTGGTCCCAGTCTCTCCAATGGGCCATGCTCTCCCAGTAAGGATTCGCTGGCTGATGGCTACGACACGAGAAAAACATCTTTCAGCAGGAATAGCATCAAGAAAATCGCTTTTGTGCCTTACCACAAAGGGATTCAGTGCAATATGTCCATCTTCAGCTCTAATGGAGATCGGTGTCTTACTGAGGCTGCTCAATCCTCTTCTCGGTGTTACATTCTCCGACCACGGTCTGAAAGGTCTCCCGGAGGGCAGCTCTCAAGGAGAGGACACCAGAATGGAAGCAACTGCAGCATGAGTGCAGAGTCACTAGAGAAGAGGAAATGTGTGACATCAGCTCAAAGGAAATGAGAAATAAAATAGCCTTGTAGAGGAAAGCAATCAACCGCAGCAAAGATCTGGAAAGTCCTTAGAGCTGTTTCCTCAGAACATCTTCTGATTATCCCGAAAGAAGGCAGAGTTGGAATTTTCCTTTAAATGCAGAACAGGAATCCACTCTTTGTCCCTGGGATCAGATAGCATTTGAACATCCTTCTCCTAAATAGACGAATGGCAGAAGCCAGAAGAGTTTTGACCCAATAACTCAAAGAAAAGAAAGTGCCAGGAGACTCATATACCTCACAGACAGACTCATTAGCAGAGTCTCCTTCACATTTGTGTTCGGTGCAAACAGACCCAGGAATATTGCCATGCCACATCTCCTTTCATCTCAAGGGCTTTCAGCAGGCACTGGGACACAGCAGCATGTCAGATCTTCTGGATCACTGGCCATCATATTCTGACCGCCACGACTGGGGCAGCCTGAGGAGCACTCATCACAGGGATGCAAATTGATGCGGTGCTCAGGAGGATGCCAGTGATAAGCAAAGCTGCAGGTACGGCCCCAGCTAGGCCAGCATGTTCCAAATGCAGCCCCCATGCTGGGGGCTACTCTGCCCTCCATGCGAGAGGCACCAGCAGTGCTGTGAAGGTGAACCAAAGACCCCAATCCTCCTCAGAACGGCCAGAGCCCCATTTGTGCCCTGCCTGTGACAGCGATTCTGGGAACTTAAATTAAAAACAAATTAAAAGCACTCCAGGGAGGCTGGCTGGCAACTGGGCTGTGGCTTTGGACAGAGCAGGCGGTGAGGATATCTTGTCACAGGGGGAAGGAGACCATTAGCAAAGGCAGCAAAGCTGCAAAACAAAGTGTGCCGTCCTGCGCAGCCAAGTTCTTAGAGGAAATGAAAGCCCAAGAGGTCTGGGGCTGGGGAGGAGTTCTGGTCAGAAATCACACCCTGCTCTTCTGGGACTGCGCCGCTGCTGTTTCTGAGTGTGTGACATGGAATCCAGCCTTTGAATGCATGGTGCTTTCAGGAGCCCAACTTACAGAGCAGCCCAGGTCTTCCAGCCCTGGGGAAGCACACAGAGTCTGCCTGCACTGAATGCCATCTTGAACATGCCTTTAGTTTTATTAAAAAAAAAAAACAAAACAAAACAAAAAAAACCAATCTAATTATTATTTTTTTTTTACTATAATTGATTCCCATGCGGTGCTGATAATTAGCATTAATGGTACTTTTGCTTGCTGTATCCAGGACACTGGATCCTGGAGTAGCTCTTCCAATTGATGCTTTTCAGGGCCAACATCTGGCTGGAATGCAGTGGGATGCTCCCCTGGTTCCTGGCACCACATCAGTACTTTCAGAGCAAGCACTTGCTCCCACCATGCACAGAGGTGGGTGCTGCCTCCTTGTATGCACTGGCAGTTTTTCTTAAGCTCATCCCCTTGAGACACAGCCTGTTAGCAGAATACCCATTTTTTATGACCACAGCTTAGTTTCGCAGGCACGATGGTTTAGAAAATATGATCTCATCAGCAAATCCCTGGAGATCATTTCATTAGTGGAGAAAAACTCAGCATGGACTGCAAGCAGAGCAGCAGCAGTTAGCAGGTGGGCTCTGCACACATTCTCAACTGCTCTGTTCAGTGACAAGGGCAGCAAATAGAAACAACATGAAGTGCCAGTGCTGAAGCTGCCAGCAGGACAAGAGCAATGCGGTGCTGTGTGCAGGGCAGGAATACAGGTGAGCATGAGCCCTGCTGCTCCCAGGCAATGGGTGAGCTCTGCAGACGTGCACGAGCCAGGCAGACTCCAGATGGCTTTGTTACCCAGACCCATCAGCATCAGGATTTGAACATTGCAGCTCAGGGCTGCTCCAAATGGAAGCTTTGCCTCTGCACCCCTTTGGGCAGGAAATCCCCATCACTGACACTGAGTGCAGGGCTCTCCAGCACGATGGCTGCAGTGAGAGCTGTGCTCTGCCCAGAAGCCGTGCTGGTGCCCCCTTACAGCGATGGCATTAAAACAGCCCCCAGACAAACAGCAACGGACTGCACTGCTACCTCCGCATCGCCACGATTCCACTTCTATTCTGTGGTTGTGAGCTCTCAGCAGGGCACAGGGCAGTGCCACCACTCACGGCACAAACACACACGTCTGCTGGGGGCAGCCAGGCAGAGAGGGACAGGGCAGCCTCAGGCCAGAGACCTCCTGGGGATGCGCAGCCAGCCTGCATCCCAGAGCAGAAAGAGCTGATGAGCTCGGGACGGAGGTGAGCAGAAGGGATGGGATGCCCTTACCTTGGGGCTATCCAGCCCAGCAGACGCTGGTCCTCCGTGAGCAGCAGCAGCGTGCCAGGCCTGGAGGAGCTCTGTCAGGAGGAGCAGAGACGGGAAAGAAGGCGCTGGTCCACAGGTGGGTGACTCACTTCCCTCTTGGCACTTGCAACACAGCTCCGACGTGCCCCAGCCACACCCTGGTGCAAACCACGGATCTCACAGGGAAATGGCTGTGCAGGACAGAGGCTCGCTACTCTCTGGCATCATCCTGTGCCCTGGGATGGGGCAGCCCCACCTGCAGCAGCTCCACAGCAGGGGTCTGGGCTCAGCATCCTCTAGGCTTCTCATTCCCTTCCAAGCACGGGTGGCAGCCAGCACAGCACTCCATGCTTGTTCCAACATCTCAGCAGCAGCTGACTTGCAGTGAGGCACTGTGTCAGTATGAGGCTGCTCAGTGTAGGAGTCCCAGAGGGTGATGGGGAAACACCGGCCAGAAAAACACTCCAGGCTGTGGCTGCAAGTTCCCTTGCCCTCATGGCAGCTCCCTTCCCACCACTTAGGGAAGAAAGGATGGATGGAGCTCCCTTTCTTTGGAGCCCGCTCACTCTCTGGTTTGCTGCCATAGCCCCAGGGCAGTGGCCAGGTTCCACCTAGGGTTTCCCCAATTGTGCATTGATATTGCACAGACTACAGGCATAACACCAGTTTGAGTCACTCGTGCTGTAATGAGATTCCACATTTCCTTCTGCTGCCTGCATTCACCACAGGCTGTTTAACACGGAAATGCTGCTGGGTTTTTTCTCTCTTAACAAGAGCCAGCACTGGTTTCTGCAAGGAAGGAGGCATGAGGATTCTGAGAGCTGGGACAGCCCCAAAGGGCTGAACAACCACTGCAGGTAAGTGCACAGAAGTATGTTGAAAGTGCATCATATCCAACCTGGGCTGGATATCCAACCAAATGGAACAGACACAGCCTGTAGTCACACAGGTCCCCATCTAAGCCTGCTGGACACCCAGCTGCTCTGCTCGAACCACAACAATTGCGCTGGGCCATGTGCCAGCATGATTTTCCTTTACCGCTCCTCGTCATCAAAATACCCTCACATAAACTCCATTCCACCCAGGTCAACATGGCAAAGCGCCCAGACGGGGTGTGCCTGCAGCTGAAAAGGATGCACCAGATAAGATGGGTGATAGATAAATCTCATCCGTTATTTTCAATTTACATCCTTGCTTGCTTTGGTGAGAACAAAAGGCAAAAGCAAGTGACTCTGCACCTTAGTTTCATGTTAATATTAATGCTATTTGACAGGTCACCCTTCCGTTCTGGCTTGGAGGAGGGGCCGTGTGGTTTTCTAATAGAGATGATTGAAACAAAAATGAATTTTTTGTTATCTGGGAGAAGGATACAAAAGATAACACAAGGACTTTAGGATGAGAGGTAATGGCCTCAAGTTGCAGCATAAAGGGAACTTCAGGTTGGATATTAGGAACAGCTTTTCCAAGAGAGCAGTGATGCAGTGACACAGGCTGCACAGGGGGTGGTGGGTCACCAGGTGCTCCAGAGCCACAGGGATGTGGCACTGAGGGATGGGGCAGCAGTAGGGGTGGGGATGGACTTTGGGATCTCAGAGGTCTTTTCCAACTTGACTGATTCTGAGTTCTCTGCAGCTGCAGGACACGCAGGTATCTCAGATGGGAAATCTCAATGAAGCAGGCTGTCAGAGAGGCTGGCAATGTGAAGAGTCCAGTGCAGTGATATGGAAGAGGTCAAGCTACAGATCTGCTAGAAATTAAAGGCTCAGTTCTCGCAAAGGACGTAGCCATTCTTGCCCAAGGACTCTGGAGCCTTTTTGTGCCTGTTTTGTGCACAAAACCAAGTCCAAGCAGCAAAAGGCATTGCTAAAACCGCAGGAGCTGCCAGCAGCCAGAGGAGCACAGCATGCAGCAGCAGAGTTCTGGGAAACGAGGAGAGATCTCAGCCCCCAGCACAGCCACGCGTGCTGTCAGGCCCTGGGCAGCACGTTGGTACACGAGATAAGAGACAATGCCTGCATCCCATGGCCGTGTGAATTGCAGCTGCCCGAGCAGAGGAGGCCTTGTTTGCTTCTATCTCCATTTGTAAGAAGAAAAGGAAGCCGTGACAGCCTTTGTGTTCTAGATAACAGCACTGCAACAGCCAAATTCTTTGTGAAGGAAACTTGCTACGCTAAAGCCCAACCTCTCACAGTTTAAGATGTTCTGAGAGAGCACAGTCCAGCACAAAAACCTCCTATTTGGAGGAAGAGGATCTGCCCTCGATCTCTGCTACCTGGGTCCTTCTATCCAGCATTGCCATACCTACAGGCAATACCCCAGAGCTAGTTATGCTCCTGAAATAGGCAGGGTAGGAAAAAGAGGGGTTCTCCATGCATTTGCAAGGATAGGCATCTCTTAGGGAACAGGAAGGCCAGAAGATACAGCAGCATACACAGCATAGGCAAGGTGGTGCTGGACCCAAGCCACCTGACTGCATACCATGTCCAGCAGGAGCTAGGGGATGATAAGCAGAACAAAGCATCTCCACCAGCATCTGCCAATCTGTGGCAGAGACCTCCTCAGCTAGCAGGAAACATATTTCTGTCTTTTCAAGCAATTTCTTGTTCATTTCCCTCCATAACTTCTTGTTCATGGGTTCGGGAAGAGAACAGCTTGATGACTTGATTTCCCTCTGTACTCTTTTTGAAGGCTATACAGTAAAGCATGTATAAAAAATAGGCATCTGTGCAATCTGTACGGCAGCTCCACAACATGGCTTCACAGCAAGGAGGATTGTTTTACTTCATTCTGTCTCTGCTAATAGAACTCTATTCACTAAGAGGGCTCCTGAGCAGGAGAAGTAAATGAGAGAACACCACTATGTGCAACAACCTAAGATAAACGTTGAGTAACACAATGGTTTGTGCCTCTTCAAGAACAGATTTCATCTCTGTCTTATCACTCAGGTTTCTATAGCTGTCATAACTTGATTTGCAAAGGGAAAGGCAGAATCTTTGCCTCAGATGAGAACCAAAACCTTTAGGAACAACGTTGGGATTCCTAGAGATCTCCTTACTCCCACTGATGTGTTCTCTGGTTTTAAGTATCAAGGACAAATACTTCAGCCTCCACACAGCACTGACCCAAAAACAGCTCCAAAGAAGATGATCTCAGGGTTTTAGGATTTGCATCATCTCTACCTCTTGAAATTGAAGTGTTTCATTCAGTCTGCCCCACAGCCTTGCTGTACACTGCAGAAGCTGAGCAACAGCTCAGGCTGCATCTGTTGTGCACCCACATGGTGCATTTTATCCATCCAAGCAATTCAAACAAGTTTGATTTTACAAAGCCTGAATCAAAGGATCAAGATTCACCTGCCTTCAATACAGCAGGGAAACAGTCAGCAAAGGGCCAGGTATTTTGTTGCTGTTAAAGATCACCAAGCTGATGAGAAGCTTCAAAGGACTTGGCTGAGTAGATAAGGTAGGAGAAGAACTGCATATTTGGACATATAAGCATACAGGTGGAACAGGAAGAAAGGAAACAGGAGCAGCTAAATTGAAAGTGAACAACCTTATTTCTAAGACATTTCTATTTCTAAGACACGTTTTGCTGCACAGCAAGGCACACTCAGTGGAACAAATGACTCAAAGGAGCTCAAGGCTGCACTCCTCAGCGTCAGCGCTGCATCGCTCCATCGGTCACACTCATAAACAGATGCATTTCTGAGAAAGAGAATCAGGAACTTCACATAAGAAAAATCTCAAGCTCTAATGGGACTCATCCTGTGCCACTTGAAAAAAAACACGAAAAGAAGATCTGAAAGGTCAACACCGTGTGTCAGCAAAGACATTAAACCATGTGAAAGGAAACGCTACCAGCAAGACCAAGACTTCAAAATCAAAAACAATGACTGGGAGAAAAGTCACTGGGGGAGATCTCTAAGTGAGAAATACTTTGACAGGGGAACCAGAGCCAGCTGAGTGAAAGGAACAGCATCTTCTGGGTGAGAGATTCCAGATGGGCCGTCTGCACAACAGAGCTCAAACCCTCTGAGCTACTGCCCAGCACTGCTCATTTCTTACAGCCTTCGTCTGCGAAGCACAGGAGATGCATCTCAGAAATAACACCACAAAAGTTAACTAACATTTTCCCCACGACTGAGTCTAATTGCTGCCTCAACAAAGAAGTTGTGTCCCACCAAAGCATTCCCAGTTGATGAAGGAATGAGCAACGCCAATAAAAAGGAATTTCACTGTCTGAACACAGCAACGCTGTACAGTTCAGTCTACCTTAGTTTTATTAGGAAGGTATGTTTCACTACATCTGGTCACCCAGACCAGTGTATTACAGGAAAAGAAGAAACAGAAGCAAGTGGAAAACACAAGCCACCTTTCAGCAAATTCATCTAAGCCCCAGGCTGTGTCAGAAAGCACTGCTGGTCTGGGAGCTGCTTTTCCTGCAGAGAACTGAGTGGTAACACTGCTTGATCACATCACCCTTCTGCAGCATGCAGAAAGAGTTCAATCATCAAAACTTATTGGTTGAGACACTGGAAGATAAAACACCTCTTCAGGGGCGGCAAAAACCATCCTTCTGACTTGACCATGTTCTAGGCACAAAAATCAGCACAGTGGACTGAACTAATGTGAAGATAAGGGTATAAAAGATGAACAGGAGTGAACAGGCTGGAGGCGGCGAGGAGGACGAAGAGCAGTATCTTCATGGGAGCATCTACACACAAGTCCCAGATGTGAGGATTGCCATCAGGACAGAACAGAGTCTCCAAGCTCAGACAACAGAGGAGTCCACCAGGAACACGTGCATCAGTAGAACAATCCAGGTGGTATGCCTCTGAATAGCTGAGAATCTCTTTGAAACTTAAATGAACACCTGAAGCACAATTTTGAAAAACAGAACTCACGAGTTTAATGTGATCCCACAGTTCTGAGAAGTTCCCACACTCCCCCTGCCACATTCATAAGTCCTCCCACCCCATCTGTGCTCACCACTCAAAGGCATGGCAACAAGACCAGGAATCAGCATGGACCCTGGAACATTCAGAGCCCACTCAGGCAGCACCCAGGGAAGAGATGTCTTCTTCCAGTCTTCCTTATTGCCACAATGGAGGACTACTAACTCAAATTCAAGTCACATCAGACTTTGGAATAATTGCAAAACCTTACCAGGGCAAGTGTTACTGAGCAGTAGTAACATCTCAGTGGCCAGCACTCAATTTGCAATTGTATCTTTGAATAATTCCTTGCAAAAAAAAAAAAAAAAAAAAAGAAAAAAGAAAAAAAAAAAGGTAACTTGGGTAAAAATTTATTTTACATACAGACCATTGCAACATAACTATTATTTGAGACGTTATTTTATCTTTACAGAAAGTGACCAGCTGGTCTGAGATTAACAGAAGTGTAAGCTTGAGAGCTGGGATTTCAGAATGGAAATCAGATCTTGGGAGAAGAGTCCTTCCAAGCACCATGCAGTGCAGGGAGGAGCTGCAGGTCTCTTAACTGCAACAGCTGCACTGAACAGCAATGGAAGCAGATCTCCACAGTCAGCTCAGACCTTTCTGAAGCTGAACTTGCTGAGAAAGACGATGCCTGCACAGGTACAGATGCATTTCTGACATCTTGTTCAGCTCTCAAACTAGAAATGAATATAGTGAAACAGCACAATCTCTGTAAAGTACAAAACATCAAGTTACAGGGCAGCAGACAGACAGGACAGCAATAATGGGGGACCCTCCTAAGCCACGAATTCTACATTTAGCGGGTTCCTGGCTGGGTTCATATTATGGCCCTAGTTCAAATGGACTGAGTACAAAAAAATACTTTGACCAATAATTAATTGAACAGGAAACAAACAGTCTACTAAAAAGCAATTCTTACTCTAGGTGCCAATGAGTCCTTAAAAGCAGGGAGGGGGCTGGGGAGCTGCTCTTTGGCAGTGCTGCCAAGATCATTCGCGCTGCTCCATTTTTACTTTAGGAGGTCTCAGGAAGGTCCTGTTCTTCTTTTCTTTCTTGCCCTTTGTATTTGCCTGGAAATTTCTCCAGCTGTCCACACGACCATCCCGACTTTCCTGGAAACAAAGGAGAGGAAGAGGAAGGTTAACAACTGCAAGAGCCAGAGAGCAGATTTTGCAAACTAGCTTTGAGAGGTTGGTACCAATTTGCTCCTTATGCTGCACCCTGGCAGCCAGGACATACAGACACTGAAAAGCCACAGCAACAGATGCAGCACAATGGAGCCACAGGTGAGTTCACAAACACCAGTGTAAGCAATATGTTGCCTTCTCGTTTCAAAAGAAATGAGCTTGGGGTATGCAGGCCTGATTACAGCATACTGAATCCTCCTGAGAAGGAAAAAAAAAAGACTCCTCACAAACCCAACCTATGACCCCTAAAGGCTGAAGGTTTCAGGACTGATCAAGTGCAGGGATGACTCACTTCACTGTGTGATCCACAAGCTCAAGTCCCTTCTGAATAGATACCTGTGCCTGCACTACTGGAGCTGCACATAGGCTCAGCTACAACAGCTGTTCTCCTCCCTCCCATCTTTCCTCTATGGCTGCATGGCAGAAGGCAGGGATCTGGATGATGGGACACAGTGCACGCTCACTAAGTTTGCAGATGACACAAAAATCTAATGCTCCACTGAGACACCATGGGGTCATGCTGCCATCCAGAGGGCCCTTGACAAGCTGGAGAAAGCATCCAGTACGAACTTAATGAAGTTCAGTGAGGAAAAGTGCAAAGTCCTGCCCTTGGGGAAACAACTCCCCGCATCAATATGTGCTGGAGGTCACCCAGCTGGACAGGAGTTCTGCAGTGAAGGTCCTGATGGATGCCACGCTGACCACAAGCAACACATCCTTGCCACGTAGGTGACTGAGGGTACCCTGGAC